CCTTAAAATGTTTGGTTGTGTTTGTTTTGTCCATGCTAGAAATGTGTGTAAGCTAGAATGTAGAGCTCTCAAGTGTGTATTTGTTGAATTTTCTTCTACTCAAAAGGATTATAAGTGTTATCATCCACCGTTTAGAAAATACTTTATAACTATGGATATTATTTTTAGAGAATTTGAACCTTACTTTAGCAACACTTCAACATCTCTTCAGGGGAAGAATGAAATGAAAGAGGCGGTGTTCAGTTCGGTAACCCTTGACAGTCATATTCAGGGGGAGAATTTTATGTCAAAAGATCTTACTCAAGAAGAAAATATTAGACAATTGAACAAACCGAACTTGAAGTAGTATTCAAGGAGAGAGAAGAAAAGAAAAGTCATCATGCAATCTATCTCAGGTCAATAATCTTCCTCAGTTCCTGAAAATACTAGTGACTTTTCTTTACCTTATAAATTATCTAATAAACTCATTGCTCTTAGAAAATAAATCAAAACTTGTACTAAATGTTTTATGTCTAATTTTGTTTCCTATGATTCTCTATCTCCCTCCTATAAAGTTTTTGTTTCGTCTGTTTCCTCTGTGTCTATTCCATAGGATTAGAGAGAAGGTTTAGGAGGTTCTAAATGGAAGGGAGCGATGATTGAAGAAATGAAAGTATTAGTAAAAAATGAAACATGGGAGCTTATTTCATCTGCATAAAGAAAGAAGATGATTGGTTGCAAATGGGTGTTCATTGTAAAACATAAAACAGGTGAGTCGATTGAAAGATATAAAAGTAGAATAGTGGCTAAAGGGTTTATTCAGACCTATGAAGTTGACTACCAAAAAATCTTTGCACTTGTCGCAAAAATGAACACAATCAGAATATTATTATTCTGTGCTGCTAATCTTAATTGAGACTTACACCAGTTTGATGTAAAAAATGTTTTCCTCTATGAGGACTTAGAGGAGAAGATATACATGAAAATACCATCTGGATTTGAATATGAAAGAACACAAGGGAAGGTTTACATATTAAAGAAAGTTTTGTATGGACTGAATTAGTCTCCAAGAGCATGGTTTGAAAGGTTCAGAAGAGTTATGATTTCTTTCGGATATCAGTAAAGCAATGTTGATCATACCCTATTCATCAAGTATTGTGAGGGTATGATCACTCTTCTTATTATTTATATTGATGATATTGTAGTGACTGGAGATGATAAAAAGGATATGACTCGATTAAAGGGACTTCTTGCTCAATAATTTGAAATAAAAAATTTAGAAAAATTCTAATATTTTCTGATAATTAAGGTTGCCATATCTAATAAAAGAATCTTCATTTCTCAAAAAAAGTATATTCTACACTTATTAGAAGATACTAGTATGGTGGGTTGCAACCCAGTTGAATCTCCCATTGAAAATAATCACAAGTTACAAGCATGTAAGTGGTACATCAATTGACATGGGAAAATATTAGAGATTAGTTGGAAGATTCATTTATCTCTCACATATCAGATCGGATATAGTATATGCAATTAGCCTGGTGAGTCAGTACATGCATGATTATCGCGAGACTCATTTACATGCCGTTTTTTGAATACTACGTTAGTTTGATTCTGTATTAGGAAAAAGTTTATTCTTCTCCAAAATTATCACTTTAAGATAGAAGTATCTATAAATGCTGATTGGACTGGATATCCAGATGATAGAAGGTCAACCATCGGTTACTACACACTCGTCGGAAGCAACTTGATTATATGAAAAAGTAAGAATTAAAGTGTAGTTATCCACTCTATTGCTGAAGCAGGATATAGAGCAATGACTCAATGGGTATATGAATTGTTATGGGTGAAAAAACTAATGAAGAAATTAAAATTATTTTAAAAAAAAGTCTATCATTGTTTTGTGACAATAAAACAGTTATTAGTATTGTGCAAAATCCAGTTCAACATGACCAGACGAAACACATTGAAATTGACTTTCATTTTATAAAAGAAAAAGTGGTTAATGACTCTTTATGTTTATATCATGTTTTATCAATCAAGTAGCAGATATTTTCACCAAATGACTCTGCAATAAAACTCTTCAAAACTTGATATACAAATTGTGCATGTGTGATATCTTTGCGCCAACTTGAGAGGGAGTGTTGACACGAATATTTTGTTGCTTTAATGGTTGTGATTTTTTAATTATTGTAATTATTTAGAATCCCTACTATAAGGGGAATTTCTTTATTTGTTTTTAGTAATTCTTGTATATATATGAGTTCTTTGTAACACAAAACATATAGTAAAAAATAAAGTAAATATTTTTCTCAAATTTCTACACTTAGCATAGCCTTTACATTCCACAACACTTCTTTCTGCAAGTCCCATGCAGATTGTAAACTGGTTAAGGTTAACAATTCTCAACATAATAAAAATCCTAAGTGCACCAAACTAACATGGGAGAGTGCAACCTTGAAGCCAAGTGAAGAGGGGAGTTAGCCTCAAGTAAAACTTGGGATACTTGTTACCATATTAAGAAACTAGAAAATATTTTCATGTACAGGACGAAGCTTTATTTTCGAAGTCTTTTTCTTCTTTCTTGGTGGATTTCTAGATTTTCTTAATGAATATTAGGCTTCAAATTTCGAATGATATGAAGTAATCTTTCTTCAACCTTAATGAGATAAGGTAATTTCTTTATGTTTCATCCTGTATTATTTATATTTCAAATTATTATTTCCAATAAAAAGTTGGACTTTTATATGTCATTGTCATACTATCTAATCTTTTGGTAGATAACATCTAATAAATTTTCTTAAGTACCATAGAAAGCACCTTAATGTTACCTTTTTCCAGATACATTACTATTTTACTATAGAATAAACATTTTTAACAGCAAGCAGTAAACAGCTAAAAGATTTTTGGCTAACAAACGGTCCATTATTCAAGTTCTCTTTATTTTTACTATTTTTTTGTGTACATTTATTATGTACTATCCATAATTCCCTTAAAATCATGTTATACAGATTACAATTTCATAAACTACGAAAACTGGATTTTATTTCAGTGATGATCGCAGCATAAGCTGATGGTTTCTTCTCAAAATAGTTAAAGAAGTAATTTGTACATTGTTACTATCAAAATATAGTACAAAAGCTAGAGTTTCTTTTAATTGTTATTATTACTAAATTTTTTTTCTGAAGATGATGTGTTGCTAAGTAATTTATCCATAACTAAAATGTAGTACTAAAGCTAAAGTTTCTTTATTTGTTATTGTTACTACATTTGTTTCTGAAGCTTAGGGGCTCCTTTTTCTGAAAAATGAAAATTTTCCTGTAGCCTGTCCTTTTGCTAGGAGTTTTTAATAATATTAAGTTAATATATCTTCTTTTAACATTGTTATATTGCAGGGAAGACAGAGTATGTCTATGCATGCGTGACAGAGTCGACTAGACTTGCCTTGGAGGTTCTAGTTCCGATCTCTATCTTCTGATTCAGTTGCTGATTTGATTTTTAGATGAATGGATCCTGTTGTGAGCGGAAAAGTGGTGGCTACTTTTCTTCCCCCCCTCCCCTTTTAATAAAAAAGTTCACTAGAGATCCTTTATATCAAATGTTCACTATTATTTCTTACCTTTCCTCGAGAAAAACAAAAAAGAGAGTTTTTTCATGTGTATGCATGCTACATCACTCCAGTTCACGTCGAATTTGGAATTGACGCTTCATTAAACAAGCTCGAAAGGTCAAATTAGGGTCTCTCGGAGAAAAACTTTTTCTCCCCTTTCGGTTTTTCATTTTTCTCTCTGCCTTTTCCTTATCCAAAAACTTTTCTCATTTGCACTTTTCTTTTCTCATAGGTGAACTATCACTCCCTAAAATTTTGGCTCCAAATTCCAGCGATTTTGGGCTCAGGAAGCGTTTTTCCCTTGAAATGTTATTTTTTCTCCCTTACACGAGATTTTTTTTTCTCACTTAACCCCAATTTTCTGTTTTCTCTTCTCATTTTCGTTCCAATTATTTTTTTCACTTCCCAGGAATACTTTTCAACCTCCTAAGGTGTCGGTGTGACCTCAAAACACATACCCTTGGCCAGGAAACTCAATTTCTTCTTTTAAAGGGAAA